AGGCCTGACGCCTTTCCCGTGTAGCATAAACCTTGTCAAGCCCTCAGCTGTGAGGTGCCCATTTCAGGGTGTTTTTGAGGCCAAAGGCCACAATCCTCGATAAAAGGAAACTTTTAGCCAAATCAGAGCTGCCAAAAGATGCCATTATCCACTTTTGGCGCTGCCTTCATGCCTGAAATCAGAAAAACGCCTTTCCTCCATAAGTTCTGAGGTAATTCTTGTTCCTCAACGGTCACGAGTCACAGAGGAACCAATGGACCTCCAGCGGTGGCTCCCAGGAAGTGCCAATGGGGGGAATGGCTTCTGGGGGGGGTCCGCTTCTGGGGGAGCAGGTGAACAAGGGTCTCTACCAGAAAATGGACGTGGAGTCACCAGCAGTCAAGTCTGACCAAATACCTTGGAATTATTTGCAAGCCCAGAAGCCTTTTTCATTAGCCAAAATCTTATAGGTACCTACTTTAGGATCTTTTTAAAGCCAAAGGCCTCAATCTTTGGTAAAAGGAAATGAAAGCCAACATTTAGCCATCTTAAGGGTTAAATCTGAATTACTGCATTATCCATGGCTTTGGCATTCTAATGTGTGAAATAAGTGAGCTCCCTTCCTCAGGAGGAGCCTTTGATTCCTGAGCCTTCACGTCCTGAGGTCATTTTTGCTTCTCAGCCGTCACCGAGTTGCAAAGAAACCAATGGACCTCCCTCCGGCTATGGCTCCCAGGAAGTGCCAAATTGGGGAACGGTCTCTTGGGGCCCCTCCATTTCTGAGGGAGCAGGGGAATAGGGGTCTCCCCTGAAAATGAACGTAGAGTCACCAGCAATCATGTCTGCCTTGAAGGCAAATACCTTGCAACTATTTTAGCTGAAATCTTGCAGGTGCACATTTCAAGATTGTTTTCAGGCCAAAAGCCTCCATTCTTGGTTAAAAAAAGGAAAGCCAACTTTAGCCAGCCTAACTGTAAAAAAAAAAAAAAAAAAGCAGTGTGCATAACCTTTCTAGGAGCAAAATCTAGACAGGTCTTGGTTTTTAGCTATGAAGGCCCCAAACATTAAATGATGATGTTTTTAAATTATCTATTAATAATTAAATAGATAATAATCTATTATTACTCTATTATTATTATTATTATTATTATTAATAATAATAATAATAATAATAATAATAATAAACTGTTATTTATTAACCGGGAGCAGGTTTACACTGAAACTGGAGACCTGGAGTGAGATGTGGAAAAGGGGCTTTTGCCTAGAATGAGGGATCATTCCATCAAGACACTTTATTTCTCTCTGTGGAGTCCTTGGTGCTCTCTGAGCTTGGTGGTTTGCTTGCAGACGTTTCGTTACCCAACTAAGTAACATCATCAGTGCGAGTGAGTGTGGGGTTTGCTCCCTGTCTATGTACCGTTGCTGGCCCTGCCAGTGTTGTTGGGGGGTTCGGTTTTTTCCCTGGTAGTTCCCTGAATAGGGTATTGTTTTCTGCCTGATTGTTTGTCTGGTGTTAATCCCTGCTTATCTGGGTATTGGCTGCTGGGGAGGATGTGTGTTCTGGTCTGTTTCCTATTATTATTATTATTAATAATAATAATAAATTGTTTGTCTGGTGTTAATCCCTGCTTATCTGGGTATTGGCTGCTGGGGAGGATGTGTGTTCTGGTCTGTTTCCTTCTTAGCTTTCCTATTCTCTCTTTCAAATGGTGCGTAAATGTGGCTTATCTCTATGTGTCTATCGATGGCTGATGTGTCTGAGTGCCAAGCTTCCAGGAATTCCCAAGTGTTTTTGGATTTAGCTTGGCCTAGGATGCTCAGTTTCCCAGTTGAAGCTATGGTTGAGTCTGTCCATGTGTGGTGAGATGAAGGAGTTTTCATTGTGTCTTCTGAGTGCTAGTTGTTGTTCATGGATGCGCTCTGCTAGCCTTCTGCCTGTCTGTCCTGCATAGTGGCTGTTACAGTCCTTACATTTTATTTTTTAGTTTAATCCCTTTTTTTTTTTTTTGGCTACTTGGGGTTTTTGTTTTGTTTAGGAGATTTTGGGGGGTCTATGTGG